TCTTTTAGCAAATAATTGAGAAGGCCATTCCAGTAGTCAATAATAAATATCAGATGTCTATTGATAGTAATAAGTGTGAATGATTGATTAAATACCTGAACTGTCAATTCATTGTTGAGTGGCTTATATGATAAAAGGTGCACCATTGTGAGATTACACTTTTAAAAAGGTGAGCACAGGACACAGATTAATTTGAAAAGCCCCTCTCAATGGTTTTGTGGATTCGCGGTCAGAGGGATTAAGTGCTGGGATTCCAGTTACAAAGTTCTGCTTTACTTATTGAACAGGCACCTGAATTTGGGGGGGACTTGTGAATTATGATAACATCGCAGCCAGTTTCATAGAAACTACCCAGTCGTGGCAGACAGACTCTAAAGTGACAGACTCTAAGGTGACAGACACTGGGATTCAGCGAGTTGGCGGGCTGGGGCGGCCCAAGGCCATGGGAGTGACAAGCCGCTCAGCTAATAGGCGGCAAATGAGGAGCCCGGGCCACCAATGAGCAGAGGCTTTGCCAGTAGCATCAGCCAGGCTGATGCCCCGCGGGCAAACCAGAAGAAGCGCATCTGCTCAGCTGTGTTGAGAGGCTGTGCAGACGTCCCCTCCTGGAGCCACTTATTATTTATTCATTCCCCTCAAGAAGCAACCAGGGCCCCGAGATTAGAACTTTCTCTCCCCAGACCAGGCCAGATCCCATCCACATAGTTTAATTCTCATGGGGCTCTGGGATCAAAGGAACAGAAACAGCAACATCAAAAGCCCAGCCGCTATTTGATTTTAAACTGGCAAAGTGGTTAAAATAAAGTGTTGAGTAAACAGACCAAGCTGGGTAAGTTTTGACTATGTGCTGGTTATCAAATTTCTCCTCCTGTCATCTCTGTCCTGTCTTTATGCTATATTCTCACCAGCCCTCTCTTAATTAAGGAGACAAAAAATATCGCTTGCTGGCACAAACTGCACAGTCATTCACTTCTTTTCCCTTAATATTTAATTTTTTTGGTTTGCTCTTTGAAGTAGTTTTTGGGGTATGCTATTGTAGAATTTCCTGGGAACAAAAAATTGACTGGTATTTTGTTGTAGGCCTTTTTTAACTCTGAAGTTGGAATGTATTGATATATCAGTTTCTTTCTGTGAGAACATTATAATGTTCCTTTGCAAAGCCTGAAATCTTTATCCATCCTCCACTTTCTGTTTTGATGAAAGTTTTAGAAAATTACCTGGCTTTTCAGAATTAACATAACTTTTGCCTCCATTAATAGAATGTTATTTAGAGGGTCTAAGCAAGTTGCAGAAGGTTTGTGAAGAATAAGTCTTATGAAAGGAAGTTTATATGGGTGATTAATTTATATGTGTAATTTATATGTGTGATGGCTATAACTAAGAAAACATCTACAGGGTATTCTAAAATCAAAAAATTTAACCCACTGAAAGTCTGGTGGTCTGGTTTGATGCTCTCAGTGATAATTGTTATCCTAAAACACTGAAACAACTAAATTGTTTTGTCAATTGCTAAACTACCATCATAATTTCAGTTATGTCTCTTCTAAGTCTTTTGTTACCCACAGTCCTGTTTTTTTTCCATTTGTAATCAGATTCCTGAAAATAATTATTTTTTTTTAGTTTTTTTTTCCTGTTTTTATTGGTGCATTATAGCAGTACACAATGGTAGAATGTTATATATTAGTACATGCACCAATATAAAAATACAATTTGGCCAGTATCCTTCCCCAGTGTTTCCCCCTCCCTCTTCCACTCCTACCCCCTGCTCCATTCCTTTATTCTACTGATCTCCTTTTGCTTTTCATGTGATTACTCTCCACCACCATCTTTCTTTTCCTGGAAAGGATTCTAACAAGTACTCTTAGATGCAGATTTTTGATAAAGCTAGACTAATTTTACAGACAAATTTGGTTTTCTTTGAACATCTTTGGTAAAAATTAGAAACTGGTGTTACTGCAAAGGATTAGATGCTAACCATCACCTATAGGACAGATAGGACTGAGTTGACAATGACTTCAGACTGGTGGAACTGGTCTTCCTGGTGTTCAGCAACAGAGACTTGGAGGCCAAAGCCAGGGAGAACACAAAGACTAAGAAGACAGCAAATATGTTGGCCTTCACCTCTAAAGTCAGTCAATGCTTAGGAGACAAAATGGCTCTGGTGAGTCACTCAACCTCCTGAGCAGTGGGATTATGGGGACCCTAGAGATTGAAGAAATCATAGGCTCTTTTCAAGACCCTAAAAAGTAACCCTGGAGGAGCCCTGACTGGAATAGAAAGGAAAAAGGTTGATTTGGGGCTAAAATAGGGGCCATTTTCTCAGTATTGAACACCTGGCTGGGAAGTATAACCAAAACAAATGTGCTATGATGAAGGTGGAGGAAAAATCAAATAGAAGCCATACATGCATAATAAGGCAGAAAGATACTGATCTTATCTTTTGGCGAATGTGGATACCTTCACAGTTGAGTTGTAATACACTAGATGTGGTAATAATTCTAGTTTCAAAAACTATCAAAGAACTTAGACCGGTTTTTTATTGTTTGTTTGTTTTTTGGTAATGGGGATTGAACCCAGGAGCACTTTACAACTGAGCTACATCCTCAGCCCTTTTTTGAGACAGGGTCTTGCTAAGTTGTTTATGGCCTTGCTAAGTTGCTGAGGCTGGTCTTGAATTTACAATCCTCCTGCCTCAACCTTCGAAGTTGCTGGGATTACAGGCATACACCATGGTGCTCAGTTTAGAACTGTTTTAAACTAGGCAAAGTATAATTGAAGCATCATTCACCAGTAGTCTGAGAATTAATTTTGATAAAATAACCATGAATCAAGAGGCTATGTAACCTACTCTTTATATTTTATGGCCAAAAAAAAAAAAGAAAAGAAAAAGAAAAAGAAATCCAGGTTCAGAGAAGTTACTTATTTATAGTCATGATTTAGTCACCAAAATAAAGTAAACCTTATAAGTAATTACTTGATATTACAGGTGGGAAATTGCTAGAAGGAAGAAGGGTGAGAACTGGAGAGTGCAGAGATTGAACACATTTGCTGGAGCATAATGGCTTAATAGTAGTCCACAGTGGACCCATATATAGCAGACAAAAAGAGCTGAGGAAATATGATGTAAGAAACCTTGGTGTATGTCTGAGAAAACTCAGTTCTAGTTTAACTGTGTTTATCAGCCTAAATTACACCGTATGTTGTGTCACCAACAACAATGAACAGAGGCTTGTACCTAGACCCCACTTCCCCAGTCAGCTAGTTTGGAATCTCTGGGAGAAGTCCCAGCCTTTTCATTTCAGAAATGTCCCTGATGCTTTTTAAAGCCCAACCAGGCAAGAGCCTCTGAGTTAGAGATTATAGGCATGTGTAGGGAAATTGTAAGAGATAAAAATAGCTTAAATTAAGGTAAGTAAGCCAATTTAGAAGAAAGCTAGAGGTATTAAGGTCCTCAAATAGCATGTGGGTTTGTAGAAATGAAAAGAAGGGATGAATGCAAGAAGTTTTACAGCTGGGAAATCTGTAGGACTTTGCAGTTATTTACTTGTGGGTTTGAGATGAAGGAAAGAATTGAAGTAATTAAAAATAATATGAAGGTTTTAGGATTAAGAGTAAATGAGAGTGATAGTTCTGTTTAAAGAAATGAGTGAAGTTAGTTTTGAGTATGTGGGACATAAAAACCTATGAGTTCTATTGGGATGAACACTTAAAGTACAAGTTGCCAGCATATTGTTACAAAAAATGTCTAAAATTTAAGAAAGGTTACAGATGATTTATCCACATGACAGGATATCCAGAGTTTAGATCACTAAGGAAAATTTAGGAATTAAAATATGTTAGAGATAAACCTTAAGAAATTATCTATTTTTAAGGGGGCAGAGAGTGGATATACAGCCAATAGGCATGAAAGGTGATCAAAGTAACATGGGCACTGAGAAATTGACACAGTTTAAAAGGTAAGGAGGAGACTTTTCAGTATGAAAATTAGTATTAAGGTGTTAAAACCTTCAGAGACTTCCAACTAAATTTGGTAGGTGGTATTTAGATGAAATTGTAATGAAAACCAGATTTAATGAAATTGAGTGATGAGAAGATAGAAAAGACATGTGGCTAATGATTTTAGATCATTCATTCTAGAAATTTTGGGAGGATAGGAAAATACTTAGAGACAGATAACAACTGGGAGGATATTTAGAACAGAAACTTGAAACTTTTGGAGGAAGTAAGCAAGGAGAATGAAACACACTAGAAAGGAGCAACCCTCCTCAAAATGTGTTTTTCTGCCTTTAAAAAAAATGTGCTTTGTGTATGTGTTTGTACATAGGTTGCTATTTCAGATGGCTGAAGCTGCCTGGAGCTGTGGGACCAGGCACCATCGTACCCAGCCACTTCCCTTGGCTGACAATCAGCCACAGCCACTGCCCCAGGAGGCTATGCTGGGCCATGGAACAAGGTGTAGAAGTGATCCAGTACACTGTTGCTGTCCCTGCACTGGAAGGGCTGTCGTGATTGGCAACTATCACATCATCTACTCTGGCTAGAGGCTTCCTCTTCAGTATTCCTGCACAAGAAGCCCACTCCAGCCACCAGCCACCACTCCAGGAGATGAAGCTTCATAAATTGTCATGGCAATTACCACTTTAGCTACAGATGCTCTAGAATACCCCCCCCCCAAAAAAAATCTTGTCAGGACACTCTGCTTTCTCTGTGATTACATCTGCTGCCACAGCAAACACCATCCTGTTTTAGTTGCCATGGCAACCACTGCTTCAGTCACTGCTGCTCCAGAGGCTTCAGCTCCAATCACTCCAGAGGCCTCTGTGGCACCCAGTAGGTGACTCCCTTCTAGCTTCCTGGGTTGGTGGGGATGAGGACTTCCCTTAACCCCTGATAACTGAGTACAGATGAACTCAGATCACCATGACTAGCCTGATACGCAAAAATTCTACAGGAAATAGCCGACTGGGCATGTGCTGGAGCCCAGCTTGTTACCAAGTTCTTCCTTGGCAGGATAATGCATGAACAACAAATGACTGAGTGACTTTATTAGCTGTCAGCCTATTCTCTGGGTTCTTCTCATTTTGTCTCACAGACACCTTATAGGGTAATGGATACTAGTTTTTTCCCATTTTGTAAATAAGGTATACTGAAGCCCAGAAGGTTAAGTAACTTATCCTAAGTTATATAGTCGGGAAATCTGAATTTATTTTTTAATTATTATTGTTGTTGTTGTTATTGCTATTATTATTATAAACATATTAATTGTGTAAGTTAAGGGGATTCACTGTAATGTTTTTATACATTCATATATCAATCATCAATCTATTCTTCCTCCTACTCTTTCCCTCCTCTCCTCCACCCTTCCCTCTTGGCACTGTTCCAAGTCCCTAGTAATCCCTTTGCTACTTTCAGGTCATCTTTTTTTAGTTTCCACATAGGAGGGAGAACATGCAATACTTCTATTTTTGTCTCTGGCTTATTTCATTCTTCTTTGCAGCTGAGAATATTTCTATTGTGTATATATGCCATATTTTCTTCATCCAGTCACCTGTTGATGGGCATATATATACAATCGAATATTGCTATTGCAAATAGTGCCACAATAAACATGGCCACAGGTATCATTTTCGTGTGCAGACTGTATTTCCTCTGGGTATATATATACCCAGGAGTGGAATAGCTATATCATATGGTAATTCTAGTTTCCATTTTTTGAGGAATCTTCATATTGTTTATTACAGTGGCTATACTAATTTACATTTCCACTAACAGCATACAAGGAAGAGTTCCTTTTACTTGACATTCTTGTCAGCTTTTGGGGAGGGGGTGCTGATAGCCATTCTGATTGGAGTGTAAAAGCTTTTCATTGTAGTATTGATTTGCAATGATATTCAGCCTTTTTATGTACCTATTAATTATTTGTATTTCTTCTTTTGAGAAAGGTGTATTCAGATAATTGATCCATTTTTAAATTGAATTATTTGTATTTTTATCAAGATTATTGTGTTCCTTTTATATTCTGTATATTAATCCTCTGTTAAATGAATAGCTGACAAAGATTTTCTCTCATTATATAGGTTGTTTCTCCACTCTGTTGATTGTTTCCTTTTCTGTGAAGAAGATTTTTAATGTGACGTGATTCCATTTGTCAATTCTTGCTTTCGTTTCCTGAGCTATTGGAGTTCTATGCAGGAAGTTGTTGCCTGTGCCAATATCTCAATGCATTTCCTGCCGCAGTCTGGCTGGGCACAAATAACCGAGCTGCCACAAAGCCTTGTAGGTTCAAACAGCAACTCTTTATTCCCCAACTCTCACTGGCACTGCACACACACTACACGGGAATACATACCTTCCACTGTGCTCCACACACCTTCCAGTGTGCTCCGCGCACCTAATCTTCCCCAACCCCCCATGAGAACTGCACTGCATGAGAACACCAAAGTATCAGGCGCCCGAGGCACATTCCCGGATTTCCATATACAACTCAATCAATCCAGCATCACAGCAATTATATATAGCTTAACTCAAATCATCATCTCAATGGTTCGCTGGCATCACCTTTCAACCATTCCCTCTGGCAATATGCCAGGCATCATTCTGACTCGGCTGTGGCTCTCAACATCTCCCCCCCTTATGTTTAATTAAACAACAGCATGTGGCTTAGGGACCATGCCTGTCTTAGGTTGTCCAATACTACATATGGTCCTTACCCATCATCGGATGAGCTGACCTTAAGGTGTCAGCCTCCTGACTTAGGTTGGTACCATTGCAATTGGATCTTACCCATCATTGACTACCGGTCCAGCATATAGCCATAATTGTGGATAGGCCTTTGTACCAGTGGCCTCACCTCTGTTGGCCCCCAAATTTGGCCTTTGCACCAATGGGAGGGTGAGGTTCTTTGCCTCACCTCTGTTGGCCCCAAAATTTGGCCTTGGTGCCAGTGGGGAGGTGAGGTTCTTTGCCTCACCTCTGTTGGCCCCTAATTTTAAACCATCACAAGCAGAAGGGAGGAGGATGTAAAATGCCACAACACCAAGCCAAATGATGGCTCTTTTTGGAAAAATTATACCATCGATGACACCATCAGCAAAGATGCCCCAGCACTACCACAATTTGGTGCACCAACAGATAGTTCACAATGCATACAAGTGATACATAGTCTAGGCAAGTTCTGCAAGCAGTTAAAAGCAGAGGAATCCATCAATATGTCCATTTCCTCCCAAAGTAAATCGACTCCTTGATTGAGCATCACTTGTTGAGTTATTATTCATTGATGCATCAGTTTATACAGTTTACTGTGATAGCTATCGAAGAAGCTATAGTTTGGTTTTATCTTTGTCTTCAGTGGCACTGGGATGAAGATAGGAATTCTGGCAATGATGGCTAAAAAGAAATTATGTAACATTCCAGCAGGCACTAAGAAAACAATTTTCTGAACAATTTACATCATCCTGAACAGAATTATTAAATATAATGAAAAGGAAAAGTGAAAGTAAACAAACAGATCTGTTAAACACCTTTAAAAACAATCCTCAACAGCTATTTACCTAATTTAAATTAAACCATTTAAATGACGTGAATAAAAAAATATTGGATCCATTTTTTCATGAGCACTCATCATATATGATATATGGACATACGCACATACATACAACACAAAACACTAGTGTGCACACATGATACAATACATACAACACATAACATAATAAAGGCCTTGTAGCTTTTTACAGATGAAATCTCCATTACAGTGTTTAAAACTCCACAGTCAAAAAATAGAACTGATCAGTAAACATTAACCTAGGTCTGTATGAGCTCAAAAAATAAAATAGAACTTTATGATGTAGGAAAAGGCAATAATAAAATAGATATTGAAAAAAACATCCTGGTTACCACCTGGGTTTGACTTTTTTTTTTTTTTGCTATCCCATCCTTCTTCCTGTAACTTACATATGGGTCTCAAGGTAATCCCACAAACAAGCCCCAAGGTCTTTTACATTTGAAATAGGCCTTAATGGTGTTCATTATTCATTAGCCTCCAGGTGTGGGAGAATCACTGTTGCAGATGTAAGAATAGCCAAGCTGGAGTTCTGGATATCAGCTGTTATGGATTTGAGTCAAATCATCTTCTTTTTGGTCTGTAGAAATCGCTTTGGTTAGTGTCTCTGGAATCCAAATCTGCTGCTGTTCTCCCTGTGGAAACACACAAACAGAACCCCGAATCCAGACAATCACTGGGTCAGAACCTTTCCATTGTCCTGTTAGAATATCCTTCCAAAGTACCTTAGGCTTATGTACATTTTTTTTGATACATATGCCTTTCCCCAGCACTAAGCCCTGATGAATCCAAATTTAAAAAGTTTAGAGTAAAAAGGGTTATTTTAAGTTTATCTTTGGGGGATAGATACCCCTTTCCAATTCCCTCTTTTTGCTTTAATAAGTACATTTTAATAGTTTGATGAGCTCTTTCAACTATGCCTTGTCCCTGTGGATTGTATAG